GGCTCTATCCTAGGTCCTACTTTGTTTTTGATTTTCATTAATGACCTTACTGATGTCATCAGCTGTCAACTTGGTATCTATGCTGATGACACAACCATTTACTCCTGCCTCGATACTAAGTCTGATCAGTTTGATAAAGTCAAATTGGCGGCTGATGTCAAAAACGAACTTCAGTCTGTTTTTAACTGGGGCAAAAGATGGCTTGTTAATTTTAACGCCTCCCAAACTAAACTGCTCTCTATTAATCATCTGAGGGGCCCTTTTCTCCCTTCCAACACGAAAGGGATTCGTCGCGCCTTCTCTGGCTAACGTTCTCGGTTGACATGAAGTGGAAAAAACTATATTGAATTCATTACTAGATCAGCTGCTGAGAAAGTTGGTTCACTGTGTCTTGCTCGACAATTTTTCTCTCCAGAATCTATATTACGTCTTTATTAAGTCTACCATTCGTCAATGCTTAGATTGCTGCCTTATATGGTCCGGTTTTCCTGTTATATATCTAGGGATCTTTGATAAAATCGAAAGAAGTATCAGCAATGTTATTGGACCTGATCTGTCATCTCAGCTTCAGTCACTTTCCCAGCGCAGTAAAGTTGCCTTCCTATGTTTTTTCTGAAAATACTTTCATGGTAAATTGTTAGGATGATTTCTTCGTACCTAGATTTTATGAATTTAAGTGCAGTACTAGTCCGGCGATGAGGTCTCATCGAAATGCAGTTGAGCTGGCTAGATGTAACCATAAGTTATATGCTAACAGTTTATTTTCTCGCACTTCTCGCTTATGGAAATCTTTTCCAGCTCCATGCTTTGTAGCCTACTGTAATCTTCAAAAATTTAAATGCAATGTCAATCTACTGTCTTCTTGATTCTTCTTCTTTATTCTCGCTCTTTAGTAATGTTTCTGTTTCCTAATTCTTTCACACCCAATAACTCATTGTGTCTTAGTGGCTTTACTGCCTTGCTTGGGGTGAACACAATTCTAAAAAAAATATAGTTACACGTCGTTATCTATTTATTTAAATTTTCTTGTCCATAGAAATTTTTATAAATTTGCTAATAGAAAATGTATTTTCATAGTTATTTCTTCACAAATTGATAAATGATAAACATTGCATTGTATTAATAGGTTAATAACTAGCCAAGAAATTGCAGCCAGTCTAAGCGAAGAGCAAAGTGTTAGTCTTGCCTCTTCAACAGTCCGTCGATGGCTGTTAGAACAAGGCTACAAATCTTGTACACGAAGGTTTAAGCCGCTAATAAGCAAAGCCAACAAAGCTAAGAGACATGAATGTGCTCACTATTACAAAAAATTCACCGTAGAAGACTAAAAGAATGTTCTCTTCTCCGATGAAACGAAAGTTGAGCTAAATTCAAAGGATAAGCGATCTAAAATCCGAAGAAGAAACTTTGAAAGCTTTTTGAAATTAGCAGTAACTACTGTCAAGCATCCGTTCGGTATAATGTTCTGGGGATGCTTTTCTTTTTACGGAACTGGTTTCTTAAAACCTATCGAAAAGACCCTCAGGAGTGAGCAGTACAAGAGAATTTTAGAGTCTTGGCTGCTCCCTTCTGCTGAAAGGGTGCAAATCGACCCCACCAAGCTCATTTTTATACAGGATAATGCTCCCTGTAACAAATCAAAATTGATGAAGGAATACTTTGATGAGAAGCAGGTGAGTGTTATGACATGGCCGCCCCAATCTCCTGACCTCAACCCCATAGAAAACTTATGGAGCATTATAAAGTACAGGCTCTCGAGAAAGCAGTTGAGCAACAAAGAGGATTTGATTGTGAATTTCATATCTGAATGGAATTCTATGCTTGGAGATGAGATTTGCCAGAACCTAATCAAGTCAATGCCAAAAGGGGTTGAAAAGGTTATTCAAAATAAAGGAGGACCCATAGATTATTAAATATTTCGAACTATATTACCTATTATAAATAAATTATACTTCTATTATTCTTTATTTAAAGCTATTCGGTTATGTTTCTATCGATTACTAGTTGCAGGAAATAAGTGAGTCACTTTTTTTGCACAGAGTTTTTCCCTAAATCTTATTAAAATTATAATTATCAATAGAATACCTTAGGGTGAGTAAACCTTTTTACTAGGTGGTCGGGAAGGGGTCTTTATATTAGTAAGATTAAAAATTAATTTGACCCCAAAACAATAGGCGAAAAAATTTGTAAGTAAAAAAAATCAGGTGAGTCACTTTTATCGAACAGCACTGTATATTAGTTTCTTATATAAAAACGATGTTTTTAGTATTTGTTAATTTTTTTCTGAATTTATCTGCGCCACACTGTATATATTTAAGAATGGCCACCTATAGGTTACGGTTGAATGAGGTGGTTCTTTCTCCAATTTCTGAAAACCTGACGATATCTGCGCGATTTTTATAGTCACGCATAACTTGAACAGCACTATGTAAACACTTAACAACCTTCATCCAATGACAAGAAGGAAATCGAAACTGTGTTGGATACGATTTAAGTAGTAAGATTGTATGACCTTGTCGGAATCACAACATAACAATATGACCTCTATCACGCTTACAGTGCCCAGTGTTCCAAACCAGCCTGCCATCTAGGTAGAGTTCACACACACACACACACACACACACACACACACACACACACACACACACACACACACACACACACACATACTAGTAATTGCAACGTTATGCCTCCATTCATTTTCCCACAAGCTCTCAGACTCAACACGGAGGCCTAAATCAAGTACTTGAGGAGATAGTGCTTCCATGAGTCAAGAGGATGGCTGCGGGAAGACCCTATGTCTGACAACAGGACTCTGCACCATGTCACACAAGCAGGAGACCTCGGCCATTGCTGTCAGATGATACTTGCGACCACATCACACTTTTCATCTGGTCCCTAACTACCCAGACTGCAACCCCCTTGATTATTATGTGTTGGGTACAGTTGAGCGAGAGACCAACAGAACTTCTTGTAACACCAAAGATGAACTGATGGCTAGGATAATAGCAGCATTCACCAACTTAAACAAGGAGACCGTCCAGAAGAGTGGCAGGAGATTCCGAAGTCGTCTGGAGGTCGTGGTTGGCAATTTTATTGAATTAATTTACTCTTTAGTATTTCAAGATATTTTTGTGTAATGTTGGTAAATATATCTGTTAAAATGTGATGTCGATGTCATTTTCATTTCTAGATAATTTAGACAATTGATATATTCGGATGCTCGCCTGTCTGACGCCATCATGTCAATGCTAAGGTAAGCCAGTATAAAACACTCACACAAATATACAATTCTAGTCTGTAATTTATTGATCGATTTGTTTTTTACGGTTTATTAAACTTTTTCAGGTTATTTAAAGCCATAAAATTAGATTGTAAGAGTTTTTTTTTTAAGATAGTAATGGTTTACTGATACAAGCCTTACAAATTAACTTATGTGTGGCGAGAAAAGATGTGGATTCATAACTTTCCAAAGCTTGTTATTCAATATAACGAACCCAACCTGAATTTGAACTCCGACTGCCAATTCCGTGTCGTTTTCCATTACATCACCTATATACATGATAGCTATGAAGTCGATTGCTGGTCACAAGAGTCATTTTAGGGGCCATGGGCGCCTAAAAGAGACCGAAGTAATTACAAGTGATGTGAAGGGTGAGAGGGAAGTTCTCATCTTAATAAAATGAGGCAATCCCCTTGTATATATATGTGTATATATGTATGCAGACAGCAGTGTGCAGCACCTTTGGAAAGGGCTTGAAAAATATACCACGGGTTGACCGAATCCATGTCAGTGAAATTGGGTAGACTGAACCCTTGGGGGCCGTCGATAGCTGTGCTAGCACGAAGTCCCAAGTCATCGTGACCGAGGGTTTGAGTGTGCTGACCTTGTTCAAATTGTTGATCACGCTAAAAGAACACGCGTCTCTCCCAGAAACTGTAACTAAGTTCTGCTCGGCATAGTTGCAATATAAATCACAGGTTGGATCTGTGGGTGTTGAACAAACACAAATGTGCCTGAGCGACCGTCTGCAATATGGATTGGTCAGCCGCCTTTGTAGACGCGTATCCTCAAATACGAGTGGACAGCTCGTATTATGCATGTATGTATGTGTAACGAGAGATATTCGTAAGCATCTTGATGCTAATTTCCCTGTCTATGTTAAAGTATTTGATCTGATGCGTAATGAATGTGGTTGAACTTGTCTAAGTAGGGCAGACCCCGAATATCACCTGCAGAATGATTGATTGATATGATGTTTTTTTATGGTTCATCAATTTTTTATAGATTAGTTAAACCCCAAATATATTTTGGTTTGGTTTGTTTTACGACATATCAACCTCAATGGGTCATTTAATGCCGACTTTTTTTCCAGGTAATATTTTTGTTTTGTCAAAAATCCATTTCTGTTAATATTTTTTCTCAAAAATGTATACCTGGTAATATTATTTTTTCAAAAACGTATAGCTGGTAATATTTTTTGAAAAACGTATAGCTGGCAATATTATTTTTTTGAAAAACGTATAGCTGGTAATATTTCTTCAAAAACGTATAGCTGGTAATATTATTTTTTTCAAAAACGTATAGCTGATAATATTATTGTTTGTTTTTTTTTTTTTTTTTTTCAAAAAACGTACAGCTGGCAACCTTATTTTTTCAAAAACGTATTATCAGAAGCCTTGCTGTTGGACGTAGTTTATCGTCTTACCCAGGACGCGGATGTAGTTTATCGTCATACCCAGGACGCGGATGTAGTTTATCGTCATACCCAGGACGCGAAATATATTTTTGGACTGTAAAAGTAATTCTTTTAACAATTTGGAGATACTAATGATTTTCTACTATTTAACCAATAACTAGCAAAATAAAAGGTGGATTCATAATTTTCAAATGGTATTTGCGCACAGGTTAATGTAACGACCTCGACCAGAATTCGAACTCAGCTTTTCGATTCTTCATTCCAAGCCGTTATCCATTACACCACTCGCACATCCAAGTTTTCAGCACTTAGTATTCCCATGCGGTCACCCATCTAGGTACTGACCAGGCTCAACGTTGCTTGACTTTGGTGGTCGTATGAGAGCCGGTGTTTCAATGTGATATGGCCGTAAGCCCATTACTCCATACGCACATCCAAGCTTACAGCAACCAGTATCCACAATCTAGGTCATCCATCTAGGTACTGATCAGGCTCAACGTTGCTTAACTTCGGTAATCGTGCAGGAACCGTTGCTTCAACGTGAGATGGCCGTAAATGCGAGAAATTGACTGAAGGCAATTCATAGATCCCTTGGACCTTTAAGAAAGTAAAAAAAAACTAAAAGCTGTGTGCAAAAATATCGCAGGCTTAAGTGGTTAAAAACGATTTACTTCTGCTCTTAGTCCATTACTTTAACAATTTAACTGTGTCTTGAAAATACTTACTTTCCCACTCTCTGTTTAACTGATGACCACAGAGTCTTCGAAACCCATCAATCATTTAAAAGCTCATTGGTTGACGTGGGCTCCTCCCAAAATAAAGGTCGGCTCTTTTGAAGAAAAAAAATTGCCCGTCTCTTTTCTGTAATTGTAATTTTTATGTGGGTTTGTGGCAAACGTACGGACAGGAGAGAACCCCAGGCAAAAGAGCAAAGGTTCAAAAAAGAAAGGAAGAAAAAATATTTTGAAAAAATTCTGAAGATAAAAAAAGTGTGTTTTCTTTATATGTAATTAAGAAAGTTCCCATTGGTTAGCAGGAAATAAACATTTTTATACAGGTGTGTGAATAATCAGGAGTTTGTTTTTTATTGTCTCAACAGTCCGTTGGAGTGGAAAAATAATTTTATTCTGACGTAAAGTATTTTGATTATGTCCTTGGCTCTTTTCACATAGATAGATAGATAGATAGATAGATAGATAGATAGATAGATAAACAAAACAGAATGGGATAGATAGGAACAGATTTATAGACAAACAAAATGAGATAGATAGATAGATAGATAGATAGATAGGAACAGACTAAGATAGACAAACAAAATGAGATAGATAGATAGATAGATAGATAGATAGATAGATAGATTGGCATAGATAGATAAACTAAACAGAATGGGATCAATAGATAGATAATCAGAATGAGATAGCTAGCTAGTTAGATAGATAGATAGAAAGAAACAAACTGGGATAGATAGATAGATAGATAGATAGATAGATAGATAGATAGATAAACAAAGCACATCGCTAAGCATGAAACTGTGTCTATGTCTGTGTGCTTGTGTGCGTCCGTGTGTGGATAGATATAAGTTTATTCATGACCATGAATAAAATATGATATTCAGCAAACAATTCCCAAGATTTTCTGATGGCTTTTTTATTTTAATTTTTTATTTTTTATTTTTATTTATTTTTTTTTTTTACAAATTAGCGTTTTAAGCATTTCTGAATATGTTTTGTTCTGTTCTTCAAACGCTGGGAAATTTTCCTTACATTTTCAGGGCCGACCTTGAAGTGAAGCAACAATTTTCAAGGCAAATGTGGGATGAAAAACGCATAAAAAATATGTTTCATTAACGACGTCATAATTAACCTAAATTTCAAATAGAAAGTGGGAGTCATTAGCGCATTTTCTTTTGACAATATACCCGTATCCATTTTTTTTTCTTCAGCACTGAAAGAAAATAATTATGTCTAAAAATGACCTGAGAAAAATTCACGGTTTTTCTGTTAGAATTCTCTGACGAATGATAATTCGTAAGTTAAAATTGGAATAATCTGCTTGCGAGTTCGATGGATACTTGGAAATTCCCTAACAGCATCGTTAAATAATTAACAAAATATAACACAATCATAAGTTTGAATGTAGGTTATTATTTAAAGAAACAAGAAGGTACAAATGAAAAGACTTGAAATTGGCAGATTCTTCCGTTTCACTGAAGCGTCTCTTCTTACCCAAAGTATAGATTAAATAATAGAACTTGTATTTGGAAAAAATCATTGTTGTCACTTGAAAATTGTTAACACAATATTCACTCAAAAACAAAAATCAAGCAAACTTATTCTTACAATACAAAAGATGTTTCGGTTTTTAACCGGCAAACTGTTGCTAAATCGTAAAAAATAAATCTATCTATCTACTATCTATCTCTAAAATATATATATATATATATATATATATATATATATATATATATATATATAACCCACGAAAATAAATCAGAGATAAAGGTTTTAAATTTAATTCTATGATTAAATTTAAGGTTTAGTTTCTGTTTTTGAAACATGGTAATTCCTGTGTAGCGATGGAACCATATTTTTAAATTAATATATATATATATATATATATGCACATACAGGTAGTAATCCGTTGGTATAATCCAGGCGAGTCCTATTAACACAACAGAGAATTTGAAATATGTTAAAACTGACTCACAAAAGAGTGCCCAATGTTTATTTTCATTAAACAAAGCAAATTTTCCTTACAATTGAAATTAAGATACTTTTAATATATATATATATATATATATATATATATAGGGTGACCAAAAAAAACGGGAACCTTTAACAATCCAATAAAACCAAGAGTGATGGAAGAGAAAAATATTTTATTCATAGTAATTGAAACTTTAAAACATGCCATTTAAGAAACAATGATGGAATTTTCATTTTTTAAAAATGATGTCCTGTAGATGGCGTCCTCCTGTACGAATGCATTTCTTTAAATATACTGTTGAGATTCCTCTATTGACTGCTGCAACATCTCAGCTGGGATACTGTGAATTTCATCTTGAATTCTAAATGGCGAAATGTTTACTTGCTCAAGGTCACTGTCTTGCAATGGTGCCACTTGCTCATGTCTGGCAATACGCACTTAAAAAATTCCTGTTTTTTGGGGTCAACCTGTATATAGTGCAGCCTCGCTTCTTGAACGTCTCACATGTCGAACAAATCGGTTTTCGAACAGAAAATTCGAGATGAAAATGCCACGGTTATCGAACAAAATTTCATTCCTCGAACAACATTACCGAAGCGAGTTAACCCGAACGGAATAATTTATGAGTCGACCGCCGTGTTGTATACATTCGTGTGTTCTGTTATGCTTTTTTTCACAATTTTATTAGTCTGTGATTTTTTTTTTCTCTACATGGATTCCTATTGGAAAAATAGTTTCGCAGTTTCGATTTACGAACATTTCGGGTTACGAACGGCCTTCAGGAATTAATTAAATTCGTGAACCGAGGTTCTTCTCTCTTTCTCTCTCTCTCTCTCTCTCTCTTAATATATATATATATATATATATATATATATATATATATACTGGCGTGTTTATCTAAAAAATACGTCTAAATACACCTCTATCCCTGCCATGCGCCAATTGCTTAGGGGTGAAAGACGGGTGTTATAAACTTAGCCGTTGAAATAAATTATAATTTATGACCGTGTTTCCGATGATGCATTATGTTTTTCCTTGATATATATCATATTGCTCTGCGAGCTCTCTTTATGAATACATCTTTTTAATATTTTATATTAAAAAGACCTACTAAGATTATCCTTTCCACTTACGGATTTTAAATATATATATATATATATATATATATATATATATATATACTGGGTATATACATATATATACTGGGTGTATATATATATATATATATATATATATATATATATATATATATATATATCAAGTTGTGCAGTTCAATTTACATTACATGAATCATTCATACAAAAATCAGATATAGAAGTTAATGACTTAAATGGTTTCTCGGTAATCCGATTTTTTCGGATTACATCTATATTTTCGTTGTCCTGTTATTACCGAGAAGTAAGAAACAAAAACAAATCTATTTCCATACCTGAAGATGTCTGTAGGAACAGACGAAAGCTTGTAAAAAACTAAAAAAGACCTTATGCAACTGGAATTTATAAACAGGGATCATATCATTCATATACAGTTACGGGGTTAATGTACTTTATCAAAATTGTTTGCGAAGATGTATTCTCTCGCCATTTAAATCATTAACTTCTATATGTGTTTTTTGTATGAGTGATTCATGTAATATATATATATATATATATATATATATATATATATATATATATATATATATATATATAAATATTTATATAAAATTTAGAGAGAATTGTAAGTATGAGAGTGTGGGACGAATGTTAGAGCTATAGAGAGGGGTAACAGACAAGAGAAGGTGAGGGATTAAAATTTAACAGAGAGAAGTTTTAAAGAGGGGAGTCAAAGACGGTGTAAGTGAGAGAAATATGAATGTTGTCGGATGTCTAATACATTAAAGATGTAACCGAAAAGGATACATTTTGTGGAGACATACACACACAATAGACAAGCTACTTGTACCGTTCGAAGGCGATTTGATCGATTTAATTAAAAAGATTAAGTTCAAGAAATATCCTAACTACTTCCAAGCTAAAATTGGTAGAGACATTAAAAACAAAGAAATCCAATAAATTATGGATTAAAGCCGACAAATCCAAAAATTTCTATAAAATATGACAAACCCGTCACTGACAAAATTACCAGCTCTTATAAAAAAGACAAAGACAATAGCACCTTATCATTTATCAATGAAGACATCTGCAAATTTGCTAATAAATGTGGAGTTGCTGACAGAATGGGCAAATTTAATATGAAAGATGCATACATTCTCTTCAAAGATCATAAGCCGAACTTTATCAATAGCTTGCAGTCCCGTCTAATTAATCCCTCCAAATCTGAGTTGGGATTAATTTCCAAGAGTATTATCAAGAAAATAACATCATGTGTCCTGGATAAATACCCTGCCAACCTTTGGAAAGACTCGGCCGAGACGATTAAATGGTTCCGAAAGATCCCTATCAAAAGAAGAGCCACTTTCATACAATTTGACATCTTGGATTTTTACCCTTCTATTTCGGAGGAACTATTAATTAACAGCCTTAATTTCGCTAAAGGACATACCGAAATAACGGATAATGATCTGGACATTGTTTTAGCGTCAAGAAGATCAATACTTACATCCAATGACGCTACTTGGGTGAAGAAGAATAATGAAAGTTTCGATGTACCTATGGGAGCTTTTGATTCTGCCCAAATTGCAGATTTAGTGGGCATATATATTCT